ATTTTTGGTTTAAGGTTTAAAGATTATATCAGGGCAATAGTCAATGGTCGTTTTGTAGTTACAATGATACCAAAACAAAACCAAACTCACTACCATTGAGTCAATTCTGACTCACAGTGTCCCCCACTAGGTTTTTGAAGCAGTAAATCTTTACAGAAGTAGATTGCCCAGTCTTCCTTCCATGGAGTGGCTGGCTCGTTTGAACTGCCAACCTTCTGGTTAGCAGACAAATGCCTTAGGTACTACATCACCAGAGCTCCTTTATAATGATAACAAGTAATACCAAATAATAACAAGTATATAATAATCACTTGTTATCAGAAACAACAAGTAATAATAGTAAGTTGTTTAAAATAGTAATAATGAAGGAAAGTAATTTGCACTTGTTAGCGTTATTGTTAACAACTATAGTAAGTCCAGGAAAGTGTAGGTTTACATCGGCACTCTCGGATTCCCAAGACTGCTCACCCCAGGACAGGTTCTTGTGGAAGAGGGAATGTTGTACGTTGATCCTACATTTTTACCTGACATTCTGTCTCTGCAATTGTCCACAGCTTACCACACATTTGCTGCTTAAAAAATATATAAAACAAGCCTGAACATTCCTGCTACGATGGACTGAACTGTGCCCCTCCAAATTAGGTATTAGAGTCCTAAGTAAGCCCCATTCCTATGGATGTAATCTCATTTGGGAAGAGGGGTTTCTTTGTTATGTGAATGAACCCATACAATGCAGCATATGTGACTAAGCTAATCAGTACTGAGATATCAAAAGAATAGATTAGAGACAGCATCAAGCACAAATGGGAGGTACGGGAGCCAGTCACCACAGGAAGACCACCAACGAACCAAAGAACTCTGCCACGGCTATAAAAGCTGAAAGAGACAAGGGGCTTCCCCAGAGCTAACAGAGAGACAAAGCTTCCCCTAGAGTCAGCGCCCCAAATTTGCACTGCTAGCCTTATGACCTGTGAGAAAATAAATTTCTGCTATGTAAAGCCACCCACTGGTGGTCCTTCTGCTCCAGTAGCATTAAGACACTAAGACCCTTGCCAAAGCACCCAGTCCCAATGCCGTCCTGTCCACCAAGGCTACTCAAGCCCCTCTGCACTTTCCCTCAGGTCCTGCACTTTTAGTTTATTGCTGGGCTCCTCGCAGATTCCAGGCCACCTCATAAAGTAAGAAGTAGATGCACTGTGACGCCATCTCTGATAAGTATGGAAATGGGTTCAGATGTCAAAGCTGAAGAGGAGGAGGTTAAAAATCACACTTACCGGTGGCCCAGGGTTCCCTGGGGGCCCCATGAAACCTGGAATTCCTGGATGACCCTAGGAAAACAGGAGGCAATACTTAAACCAGAGTTGGAACAACTAAATGAAAGCAATCCAGAATCCGCCTCTATCTGTGGACTAGTGAGACAGGCTAAAGACACGGACACAAAATGACCTCTCTGTTCTCTCTCTCTGGTGCTTCAATAGGTTGACGAAGTACTTGACAATACCTATAAAAATAAATATACCCTGAAAGCGAGGGCTGTGTCTAAAATAATGCAGGGCCAGGAAGGAGAGTAGGAGGAAGTGGTTGAGGATACAGATGAAGCAAGAGAGGCCATAATGTGCTGGGTGGTGGGTACACAGGGTTCATTTTATTATACTCTCTATTTTGTATGTACGTATTTTTTGAAGTGCTCCATAATTGAAAGCTGAAAACAAATAAACACACACACATATGCATGCCCACAGTGGAGATTGCTGGGCTAACTACACCATGGCCTCCAAACTATGACAAGGGTCTTAATTTAAGAAAGATGGTCCTTTCTCCATGAAGAGAGGAGCCTGTTGTATATTACAGAGTGAACCAAACAAGTGGCACTGCAAAGTGCATGGCATCTAGCATCTAGTTTTATACAATAATGTTATAAAAACAAACCGACAAACCAAAGAAGAAACGATTTTCCTGTCCTTCACCCCCACAGCCTGCTACTGGAAAACATGGGGCTATAACATCAGGTAGGGAGCTCTGGTGGCATAGTGCCTGAGGCACTTCACTGCTAACCAGAAGTCTGGCGGTTCAAACCCACCAGCCACTCCTCAGAAGGAAGGTTTGGCAATCTACTTCCGTAGTGATACTGCCTCGGAAACCCAAGGAGGGGTCGCTATGAATTGGGTTTGACTCGACGGCAAATAACAACAACAACAGAATGCCTCCAAACACATTTTCATTTTCAAAACACAGATGGAATGTGGGCTGGGCATCATCCAGACTCTGAGCATATCCCTGATATTGCCATTTCTGGATGACTTATTCATGTGCCTCACTTCCACACTGAACTGAAAGCCATGTGTTGTTAGGGGCTTACCCATCACTTACAACCTGGCATGGGGCATGGGATAGAGTAGGTTTCCAATGAGTATGGTGGGGAGAGGCAGAGGAGAATGAGAAGAAAAGGGGAAGGGCAAAAGGGAGAGAGAAAGAGAAAAGCACCGTGTAGTGAAGGCAGAGAAGAACAATAACCAGATTGAAGTAGCAGACATTCTGCTGCAGGCCAGGGAGTTGGGAGTGTGCAGAATTAGCAGGAGCTCTGGTAGCACAGTGGCTAAAGCACTTGACTGCTAACCAGAAGGCTGGCAGTTCAAACCCACCAGCCATTCCTCGGAAGGAAGGTTGGGCAATCCTACTTCCGTAGTGATACTGCCTCGGAAACCCAAGGAGGGGTTGCTATGAGTCGGGGCCGACTCGACGGCACATAACAACAACAACAACAACATCAGGAGAAGATAACAGGGGCATTTTCTGTCCCACAGAAAGAGCGGCATGTCAACATTGGCATTATCCTATGCTGTGGGTGGGATTGTGTTGGAATCCTAACCCCTAAACCCCTGGATGTAATATAATGTAATTCCTTTACATTTGATGTAATTACCTTACATAATGAAATCTAATGCAATTCATCAATCAGTGGAAATCATACCGGTGTAGATGGATCCTAAATCTAATCACTTTGAGTTACATAAAGAACAGTATAGACATAGACACATGGGGGAAGGCAGATACCACGTGAAGATCATCAACAGCCAAGGAGACTGCCTACAAGGAAGGGACCAACATGGCTGAGATCCTGATTTGGACTTTTACCTTCCAGAACTGAGAGAGAATAAATTTCTTTTCCTTAAAGCCACCCATTTGTGATATTTGTGTTATAGAAGCACTTGGAAGCTGAGCCATCCTACAATGCATTTGGGGACATGGTCCAGCCGGGGCTAGATGGACAAGGATCAGAAAAGGTGGTATCTGCAAAGTGTTTCACCTCGCTTTGTAAAAGACATGCAAGAGACACTTGAGAAATGATGGGAGGGAGGAGAAGAAAGAAAGGGACATTTGTGATGGCTTAGTTATTTAGTGCTGCTATTAGGGGCTCTGGTAGCATAGTGCCTAAGGCACTTGACGGCTAACCAGAAGGCTGGTGGTTCAAACCCACCAGCCACTCCTTGGAAGGAAGGTTGGGCAATCCTACTTCCATAGTGATACTGCCTCGGAAACCCAAGGAGCGGTCGCTATGAGTCGGGGCCGACTCGACGGCACATAACAACAACAACAACAACCATTTCTGCCAACAACAAACAATCCAGGTAAAAGCCTCCAATATTAAATAAAGGAAAGAAAAGGCAGCCTACTCAGATAATTGCAGGGAATGGGAGGTGGTGACTGTGGCCCAGAAGTAACAAAATGGAAACCATGAGAATGTGATCCTTTAAAAATCCCTACTGCAGGCAAAGCAGCAGCAAGGAATGACTTCAGGAATGGTAGACTGGAAGCTACCTATAATAAAGAAACGTGGGTCTTCTTCAGGGTGAACGGTTCATGGTAAATTAAGTTGTTTTTACCTGGTCACCTTTCTGTCCAACCTCACCATCTACACCACGCTCTCCTTTACTTCCCTTGGAAGAAAACACAAAAGAAGAAAGAAAAATGTTACTAAAGCTACATTGCAAAAGAAACAGTGGCTTCATGCATTCACTCACCCACCCATCCATCCATTCATTCATTCATTCTTCAGCAGCCTTTGACCAAGTTCCTGCCGTCAGCATGGTGTTAGCAGATAAATGGAAACTGCAGGGCCTAGTTGAGGAACTGCAAGGCCTACTTGAAGAACTGGTGGTGGAGTGGCTTGTCTGGGTTGTAAGGTGCTGGGGATGCAGCAGGAAAAGGTGGTAGGGAGGCAGGCAGGGTCCTGCTCAAAGAGAGCCTTGCATGACAACTCTGAATCAGAGATTAATTGTGGGCATGGAAACCATTAAAGGATGGCCCTAGGTTTTAGAAGGGCTCCTATGAATGTGCAAGGCACATGGGCAAGAAGGCGCAGGCTGGAGAGGGGAGGATCAGTTGGGAGGAGATTGGGGTGTTGCAGGTATGAGAGGGGAAGCAGTCATGCAGTGTGTGGGCCTCGCATAAAAGACATGGAGTGTAGGAGAATGTTGGACGGTGGAGGACATGGGCAGCCCTGAACAATGAGCTGAGCAGGACTTCATTTCATTGCATGGGCTTCTTGCTGCCTCCCCTAATATCTATGGATCCTTGGACGGGTCACTGCAAAAACTGAGAGTTATGGTTCCTTTATCTATAAAGTAGGGAAAATAATGGTACCCACCCTATGAAGAGTTGGGAGACTAAAATCAGAGCCACACAAGGAAAACACCCACCATAAAGCTCAGAACATAATAAGCACAAAACACATTGTATTTTTTCTATCTGAAGGCCAGCTTTGCCATTTACCAACTGTGTGTCCTTGGGCAAGGTGCTTTGACTGTTTCCTAACTTTGAAAATGAGAATGGCCAGGGAATGGGCAGACTTCACCTCACATACTTTGGTCATGTTATTAGAAGGGACCAGTCCCTGGAGAGGGATATCAGGCTTGGTAAAGTACAGGGACAGTGAGAAAGGGGAAGACCCTCAATGGGATGGACTCACACAGTGGCTACGGTGATGGACTCAAGTACAGCAGGGACTGTGAGGAAGGCCCAGGACCGGGCTGGGATTCATTCTGTTGTACAAAGGATTTATATCAGTCAGAGCTGATTAGACACACCTAACAACAAAGCAATGGGAATAATAAGGATAGCACCTAAGTCATAGGGTTTTATGAGGATTAAATGACCTGAAATGTACAAAATGCTTATACTAGTGATAGGCTCAGAACCAACCCTCAAAAAACATCAGATGTCATCATATCATCATCGTCATCATTTTTATCACCATCGTCATCGCCATCATGGATGCCATCATCAGCGTCACAATCATCACCGTCCTAGTCACCATCAGCAGGACCACTGGGTCAACATCATCCTTGTTGTCATGTCATCACCACCATCACCACCCCCATTATTATCACCATTCTCAGAGTCATTAGCCTCATCATCATTGTCATCATCCAAACACTCAAGATTTTCAACCCACCAAAATGATTATTTACAGATGACCCCTGAAGGTAACATGCAAAGTTCCCATATCTTAACTGCCACCCTTTTTGGTTCTGCATTTACTGTGTCAACAAATGAAGTTCAGTAAAATGTTTTTAACAAACACATTTCAGCTCCTTCAAAGTAATGCCAGGTGCAATACAAGAAGCACTTGGCAATGAGTCTGTTGTGGCTCTGGTTCCAGGACTGTCACTGTTGATCTCTGCATCTTTGAACAGGTCATGTCCCCTCTTGGCTCTCTGACTGTTCATCTGGTAAATGAAGGACAGGGGCCAGGTCTATCCATGAGGGTCCTTCCAGCTGCAGAACCCCACAGCTCTCTCACTGAAAAGCCAAGCCCAGACCCACTGAGCTCCAGGCTGTTCCTACCACGCCTGCGGCTCAGAGCTGACTACATAATCCCACTCCCTCCCTACCTCCCTGCAGCCTATCCATATATCAGGAGGGTGCAGGTGAGCTCAAACCTGCAAAGTCCACCTACCATTGTTTAGAAGAGGAACAAAAACGGGTCCAGAGGGAAAAAGCATCTGTTCCAACGTTTTTGCATGTAATTATTTCTCCTGTTTCCAAATCTATGAAGCCAGCATGCTGTCTGCGGGCCGCTTTGTAATCTCAATGAAAAGAACTGACAGAATAGCCTGCTGCTGCCTTGACATTTAGGACAATTGCCTTAAAGGTAAATGGCTTTCCTTTCAAATCCCAGTCCTCAGTCTGGGCTGAGTGGTTTCAACCCTCATCCCACCACAATGGAAATGTCAGCAGCTCAAGGTGGTCCACCACAGTCCCCCTTCCCACTTCCCCATGGCAGCCAGAGATCGAAGGAAATGCAGCCACCCCCAAGCCTGACTCACTTCCTTCCAGAGAAAGGGCCTGGCATTTCCAGAGGCCCGGCTCTGTGCCAGCACTCTGCTGGAGCTTCCCACACGACATTCCATTCCACGCATCTCCCTGGTGGTCTATATCCTGCCCTGATCCACAAAGTACCGACTGCATCCATGCCACCTCACTCCACCAGTTAGACTACCTTCAGGGTAGGCATTATTATCACTGTATAGATAAGGATCACAAAGATCAGAGCATTCAGTCACTCACCCGAGGCCACACAGCTAAGAAAAACCGAGGT